AGCTTACAAAAAGGTAAAAAAGAGGGAAAAAGCAAGGGTGGGCTTACAAACTGCTAGCAATCAAGCATTAAAGACTGAGTTAGACTCTCCTATACAGTTTCTTACAAAATTGGGCATTGGGGCCAGCAGGTGGTGTGGTGGTTAAGGGTGCTGGGTTCCCACATGGCCACCTGCAGTTCGAGTCCTGGGCCTGGTGGCTTGCTTTCTCACTTTTCTTCTCTCTCTCTCTCTGGTAAACATTTAAAAATAAATAAATGAATGAATAAATAAATAAAGCAAATAAAATACTTTTTTTAAAAATCGGGCATCCATCTACCTTATGATCAGCTTCTTCCACTCCTAGGTATTTATCAAGAAGAAACAAAATATTTAGTTTCTACAGAAAGAGCTATATACGAATGTTCACAGCAGCTCTAATTATAACAACTAAAAACTGGAAACCAAAACAGCCATCAAGAAAGAAGAAGGGACCAGCCGGTGGGGCAGTGATAACCGCAAGGCTGTGCACTGTGGTCCTGGCAAGCTGAGGTGTGTGTGGGGTGGATCACTGAGAAAAGACCCTGTTGAAGGTGACTGTCTCTTTTTTCATAGACAAAATAAACAAACTTAGAGAGACAGGGCTGGCCCTGATGCAGCAGTTTGGCACTGTGTAGAGGAAGCCAGATCCCATATGGTTGATAAAGGTTTGCCTCCCAGCCCTGTAAACATGCTGGGCATATGTACACTTGTCCATGACCCTGAAAATATGGAGAAATGGAGGGAAAACAACAGCAACATAACCAGGCCCCAACGGGAGAAGTTCCCTGCCCCACTCCTGTGTGCACACATGCCCTATGGCATTTAAAAAAAAAAAGAGAAAAAATGAATTAATAATCATGGCAAATTTGTGCAACAGAATTCCACTTAGCAATTAGAAATAAAATATATAAATGAAATGTCAAAAACTTTACACAAAGTAAAAGAATCTACAGAAAAAGAGTATACTTTGTTATGTAATTCTAGAAAAGGCGAAACTAATCTATAGTGATGGAAAGCAAACCACTGGTCGCTGTGGGGCTAGTGGTGGTGTGGTGAAAGGAGTACATGCCATTGTCCAAACTGCAAACTATTCACTTAAAACAGGTATCTTCTGGGACCAGCAGATGGCATAATGGCTATGCTGCTGTCAACTGGGTTTGAGTTCCAGACAGGTGGCAAACACGCTGGGTGCATGTCTATGCATGCCCAAAATTCCAAGAGGAGAATGGAGGAGAAGGGACTGCAGCATCCCACAGTGGGGGGTGATTTCTCACCTTATGTCTCTGTCTCTCCAGAGAGAGCACATACCCATATAGCAACAATCTCTCAAAACAAACAAACAAAATAGCCCCAGGTATCTTTTATTGCATGAAAGACATATCTCACCAAAGATGTCGCTGGACTCCCACGTAGTCGATCGCGGTTCGTGTCCCGGACCCGGTGGCTTAAAACTCACGCCGGGCGCGTGTGCGTGCGTGCCCAAGATCCCAAGAGGAGAATGGAGGAGAAGGGATTGCGGCGTGACCATCCCCCCTGGGGGGTGATTTCTCGCCTTATGTCTCTGTCTCTCCAGAGAGAGCACATACCCATATAGCAACAATCTCTCAAAACAAACAAACAAAATAGCCCCAGGTATCTTTTATTGCATGAAAGACATATCTCACCAAAGATGTCGCTGGACTCCCACGTAGTCGATCGCGGTTCGTGTCCCGGACCCGGTGGCTTAAAACTCACGCCGGGCGCGTGTGCGTGCGTGCCCAAGATCCCAAGAGGAGAATGGAGGAGAAGGGATTGCGGCGTGACCATCCCCCCTGGGGGGTGATTTCTCGCCTTATGTCTCTGTCTCTCCAGAGAGAGCACATACCCATATAGCAACAATCTCTCAAAACAAACAAACAAAATAGCCCCAGGTATCTTTTATTGCATGAAAGACATATCTCACCAAAGATGTCGCTGGACTCCCACGTAGTCGATCGCGGTTCGTGTCCCGGACCCGGTGGCTTAAAACTCACGCCGGGCGCGTGTGCGTGCGTGCC